AATAGCTATAAGTTAATGAATCAATCAATTAACAGCTAATTTAGCATTTTCCTCTTAATGGAAGTTTCCGGAATACAACAACTACATGTATGGAATAGATATGGAAACAAGAATTCGTTTCAACTTGATAGTCTACCCCAGTCACTGTTGATTTACCCAGCAAACATGACGTACGAGCGGAATGTTTGGGAATGTCTTACTGCAAGATGGCAAATGATTATTATCGGAAAACTGTGGAAAATACGATCATTTTATGATCATTAATGTCTGGAAATTCGAAAAACAATTTTACTGATCATGAATATCTCGCCGAATATTCGAAATATCCTACCTGAATATCTCTTCGCTATCTTCCGGTTCAATGCTATTGGCTACAGTAAAATGAAATGCTATTGTTTGATGATTGTTAAGGAAGAGCAATTTCTTCTGCTGAAAAAGGATAATTAGCAAACGTTATAATGCGCATATTTTTGATAAACATTGACAGTATGTCACATAGAAAGTCACGTAGAGAACGCCACTAGATTTCAAACGTTTGAGAAATTTCAAATTTGAAAGATTTTTTTGAGAAATTTGAAACGTTTGAAATATTTATCATCATATGATTAATATTTATGACGAAAATTTTATATTTAAGTTTGAAGAGAGAAAAAAAAGAGCACCAAATTCAGTACTGAAAAGAAAAAACCTTTCTAGAAATAAAAATTTGAGAATCTGTTTATAATAGCAAAAAAAATCCCTCCTTAAATGAAACTTTCCCTGGATGGAAAATATTGGCAATCGATGGTTCAGCTTATTTCTGGATGCTTCTATTTATGACACAAATGCAAATTTGTGTATTTCAATGGAAGGTTTCCAACGACACAAAATATTCTGTTAATCCCAATTTCTATAGAAAAACTGTTTGTGACAATTCAATGAAAGGCTTATAGTGACACGAAATAATCTGTTAATCCCAATTTCTATGGAAAAATTGTTTGTGACAGTATTATTTTACTTTTTCGCATAATCTGTATGAAGTACTTTTTGTTTCACAATGCATATTATTCAATGTAAAACAAAAAACTGAGATTGATTTCGATTTTTCCTAATTTCAAAGTTGGATAGAATCTGTTTATCGTAGGTTGCTTACTTTTCAATGTCATACATTTTCTGAAAAAGTATTGCATTTGAATTCCTAGCGAAAAACTGATTGTCTTCTTCAGTTCCGAACAAAAATTTCTGATTCACCGTCCTGACGGTTCGAAAGACTTATCCTCTCGAGTTCTACTAGGTTTCTTTGGAGATATCGATTCATTCCCCAAAAAGTGGATGACAACGAATGATAATAGCGAATTGAGTAAATAAAAATGACAATGATCGTCTATCGATAAAATTGGTAATTTTCGAATAATTAAATCTGGTTACTTCTTATGTTTTTGTTTTGTAATTTACATTTAAGACTTCCGAAAATTTTATAAACAAAGGAACTGCCATTAGTGATAAGGCAAAATAGACACGATAGAATTCGCGTAATCCATTTTGTTTCAGATCTGTGATAATTGATCCGCTCACAAATCTTCTAGCAATTCAATTAATTAATTTCACAAAAAAATCTCGAAAATTTTGTTTGTTGTCCACAAAGCAATTGATTTCATTGACACAATCAACTAACGTACATTCATCGGTGGCCACTTAATCAATAACTTAATCATGGCTGTCTCGCTGATATCGCGAATGGAAACAAAGAAACGATAATTCCCTTAGTTGAAAGAAAGCCAAACATCTTTGTTGTATATGCTCATATCGTTTTAACCCTATAGCAATGGGCGTTCCATAAGGGATCTAATTTTTGCAATCATAAAACGGTACAAGGACCCTCCCATCGAAAGGTGCGTTTCCACAGGTCGGTTGGTTGGAAGATAATCGGCAAGGGGCTGTGTATTCAAGGCACAAAAATTGGCTGTTTAGTTTGAAATTTGACACTTCAAATGAATCATCCGTTTTTATATATTACCAAATATTTATCACATCTTCATAACAATGTCTTCATGGCTTTAACTGCTTACAAAACAGTTGAATTACTTGTCGAAATTCATCTGAACTGTGTCTATGAAACAGTCAATCAATAACAAAAATCAATCATTTTATTCGAACTTTCTTCCAAATTGTTGAAAACCAACAATTGCATATACAGGACCAGCATGGAAACGAAATTCCGTCCCAATTTGATAGTCAACTCCAGTCATCGATGATTCATCAAGTAGACGTAACGTACTTAGCGGAATGTTTGGAAATGTATTACTGCAAAGAAAGAAAAAGTGATATCCTAGTCTTATCAGATCAGAGAAAAGAAAAGGCCAGCAGAATCGCATGCCCTGTCCACTTTTGCTGTGACATTTCTCCAATACACCAAATATGTGATTCTGGGAACTGATTATGAATGTCTCGTTGAATATTCTAAATATCTTACCTGAATATCTCTTCACTATCCTCCGGCTCGATGTCATTGATCTTGGTAAAATGGAAGGCTATTAGTTGATGACTGTTAAAGAAGAGCAATTCCTTCTGCAGAAAAATGATAATTTTACACAATAAAGAGCATATTTTTAATAAATACTGACAACACGTGAAGTCACGTAAAAAACGCAGTCAAACCTCAAAAGTATGAAGAATTAACAAGCTTTTAATGAGGAAATGACTTCACGATATTAACGATTACGAATAAACTGAAGTAAATTAAAAAACAATTAGAGCGAATAAACGAGTCAAACCTTCCAGTCTTCAAACTTTGTTTTCAACATTTCGCTGTTATCATTTTTATCCACGAGAAGAGTCGATGCTTTTACGTCAGTTCCGTAGAATTTTAACATTTTGCCAGCCCCTATCGAATTGATGTTTGAACTGAAACTGAGATATTTGTTGCAGCAATAATAAAATATTCATCGTCTGTCCATAATTATTAAAGCATTTATCCTATTTCGGAAGCCGTCATGAAAGATATTCTTATTCGATACCGGAATTAATGTTCATCCTATCAAACACATTCAAACATATGAATAAATATTGTCTTAATTAACTCCTTTCAGTGTCACTCCATTCTAGATTGATCTGTTGGCCAAAAAACAATCATGTCTGACTTACGCCCTCTTTCGATTATCCGATTGAGCAACAACGCAAATTGGCGCGTTGACATTTTTCTCTCGAATTTCCTTGATTACGTTCAATGCTTTATTTTCAGCGTCATCATAAGTAGATTTGGGGCCGCTACTAATCACAATGACCAACTTCACTGTGTCATAATGAGCATTCTCCACTGGATCATAACGAACACTTATCTGGGATTCATGATTATTTCATTAAGTTCAGAAGATCGTACTTCTAATAAGCTCTAGAAGTAAAATCCTATGTAGAATTCACTTTGCTATAAACATAATCATTCGGGGTGTCATGTACTGTTGATTGCATTAAGCTTTAATTAACTCACTTCATAGTTTTCCAGATAATTTGTTTTATAATATTTTGTGCGTACACTGAAAAAAACTGTTGCAATTAAAGACAAACATGGCAATGACCAATATACCTATTGAATATTATATATTCGGTAGAGTTTTGCACTGATCTTTTGGGGTAGAATGAATTACATTCTTGGTGTATCGGTTCAAATTTAATTCTAATTGCATTCCCTGATTGAATTGTTTGTGCTATTATGCCTTCTGATTACAATTCTTAGTATATTTAGACAAAGAAAGACTTCAATATCACTCATATATAACTTCATTATCATTATCATTCAAGTATTATGACCATTCGATTGTCACATTTAATTATTAATGCAAAGTTTGGAATGGAAATCATTGCAGTATTTGTGCCAAGAACGATTAAATCTCAGCACTGAACGATTTTGGCATAATTTGATAATGATTACAGTTTGCTTCAGCTAATATAAAAGATGACTAACAGATCTTCGATTTGCCATAAATAAAGGGGCTTGTACGAGGGGAAACTTAAATCGTATGGGAAAATCACTCCGTTCATTGGACTTCCTTTTATTTCAACGGGTTGGAATGGCTTATCTGCTGAAATGACATAATTACAACTATTTATTTGTTTAATAATGGTTTAATGCCATTCTTTAATTAATTACAATAAAGTTATAATGCAAAAACCCATTAAAATTTTCTTACTATATGCGGATCTCTCGAGTATTTCTAAATGATCCTTGTAAGATGTGAATATCAGAACTGAACAAGGATGGTATGCCGTGAATATTGCATTGATCGGTTTTTCTCTACCAAACAAAATAGCTTGATATGGTGTCCAATGATTCATCGCGAAGGATTTTCGGTGCTAAAGTTTGAATTTGCATCATTACATTATCAAACCTTCGTCTTTTATAATAAGTTCTTTCTAACTTTTAATTTCTGATTTTTGACAGGAACAAAGAATGGAGCATACTTGATCATCGATGAAATTCATCCTAGATACGAGTTCCAAAGCATTCTCTAAATTTCGAGGGGTTATTTTACCGTCCCGGTAATGTAGTATTCTATTTAGACGGTTTAACTCGTAATTTGGAGATTCATATTCATACAGCATTGGGAGTGCCCTGTAAGACGATATGAAAAAATAATCCATTATTTTTATTATTTCCAATCAATTCATTATAACTTATTAACTCATTCCAATTTCCCTTATCTCCTACAATTACTAGTGATCGAAATTGCAAAAATGATTTCCAGACCTTAGGGAATATCTGTAACGTGATAATATATAAGTGAAAGAAAAGTGCTAACTTGCTAAGACTTTTTAAATCTTCGTGGGGTAAGTGATTAACAATTATATGTCCCACTTGTCTAAAAACAGAGAGTAGTTCATCATTGGGATATCGAAATTTTGTTTCAAGCTTTCCTTTTTTATGAGCGCTGGGTCCATCCTCACCTGTTCCTCCTGAAATTTTACTTAATTCATCGCTAAACTGTTCCTATTCTTCATATATTTAAAAAGAAAATGCAAATTCATTCAAATTTCTCAATTATGTACACTGCATCACTTTAAAATAGTTCATTGAAACTTAAAATTTAAAAATTCAAAAAGTCTACCTGCTGCTGATGTAATATTGGATGATACCATATGCCTTACAATGAATGTGAGAATGGCAAGGTATTTCAAATCCATTGTTATCAAAAGCTGTAAATTAAGAATATACTCAATGATTTGAATAATCTTAAGACATTGTCGAATTTTTTTACTATTACAAGTGAATTTCGAGTTCTTTAGAGAATAGATTCCATCACTTTGAATGTGTAATAAATCTACTTGCCAAAGGATACAATTTTTCCTCGAATAATTTGTAAAACAAATTTTTTCATTTTCCTTTTGATGAGTAATGACGGTAAATGATTAGTAATATGTATGAGATTTAGGCCAAAATTCGGTTGTTTCAGTGAAGGATAGGTTCTAGAATTACTTTTTGTTTTAGGCATGATGACTAATCAAGACTATAAAATGAGTAGAAGAATTAATGAGTAGTATGAAATGAGTAGAAGAATTAATGAGTAGTATGAAATGAGTAGAAGAATTTGTAGAAACAAATTTGGTGAGAAGGGAAGCAGTTTTGTGACAGTGGACTGAATTCTGAACAAAAATACTGATTTTTTATAACCAAAAGATCGAATCAGTCAAAGATCAGAAAAATTCAGAAAAAATCGAAATTAATCTCATTTTTTTGTTTTGCATTGAATAGCGTGCATTGTGAAATGGAAAATATTTCATACAGATTATGCAAAAAAAAGTGAATAATACTATCACAAACAGTTTTTCTATAGAAATTAGGATTAACAGAATATTTTGTGTCGTTGGAAACCTTTCATTGAATTACACAAATTTGCATTTGTATCAGAACTAGAAGCATCCAAAAGTAAGCCGAACCATCGTTTGCCATTATTTTCCATTCAGGGAAGATTATCGAAAAATTTCTGGAAAGTCATATTAGAACTTATTTGAAATCTCATTGGAAAAAAAAACTCCAAATTTGTAGGTTTGTAAATTCAATCAAGCTCCATTATACTGAAACAAATTGTTTATATTGTATACAGTTTATGTTATTTCAGAAAGATACACATCACATATAAAAAAGATTACAGTACATTAGCACAAAAAAAAATGATTACATTCACATTTTCGAAAAATCATAAACAAAATTACCACTGTTGAACAACAAGACATCAAACATTCCCATAAATTAAATTAAATATTTATAAAGCCTTTACAACGGAATATGAATATCGCTAAATTTAAAATAAATTCACTGAATTTTCTTTAATACTTGATTATTT